CATTGAGAATTTGAAAGCTGACTTATCCCCGTAGTAGATGTGGATATCGTGTAAAACCTTAATTTTGAGTATTACACGACCTATTACCTTCGACCTTTTACCATGACCCCTTATTTACCTTATCCTTTGCTCTCCGTTAATGGAGCCATTTTTGCTGAAAGTTTAGGAATTTTAAAATTTTATGAGATACTTAACCTACTTTACTTATTAAGCTGCACCTATCCAATTTCTCTTTTTCCTTTCTCGCCATCACAGGAATACAGAAGTGAACTAGGACCGAACAGTAGGCCTTAAAGTATCTCCTGTTACTCGTTAACTGCGTAATAGATTGCAAAAAGGCTAAGTTGAGGAGTCAACGACAGGGCGGTCTTCTCTGACCAGACCTGAAAGCCAGGTTTGCACAATTTCGCAAAATGAGAAGTGGCCTTGCAGAAGTCGTACCAGCAGTAGCATCAATACACTTTTCTGCCTCTGAACAGTCTTAAATCTGGCAACTGCAGGATGAGGCCTCGAGCCTTCCCATACTGGTTGGACAGAGAAATTTCGAGAGTACTTGCTGCACTCATAGGGCAAAAAGACAAGAAAAGCTCTAGCTTTGTAGGCTAGACACTTGACTTTTTAAGGATAACACTGAAACATATGATCGCCATTTACTAAGCACATGAGACTTGAAGGAAAATTGCAGGAGAATAACGTTTTAAAACTAAACGCATACAAATTAGTACAGGTGGGAAAAAATAATCGACTCGCAAGTACGACGAAGTTGTTGAACCATACAACCAATTAAAGCGGCTTCTGCACTAGAATGTATTTCGTCTAGATCAATGATCGGCAAAGGTAGCTTAAGTAGTGCACCTTATATACCCCTAGTCCCAGCATTATGTCCTATGGAAATGGTGATTATAGGGGTTTTTAGGTGGGGAAATAGGATAGGCAGTGAAAAAAAATTGTAGAAGTGTAAAGTGCAAAATGTAGTTGAATTTGTTTCCCGCGGCCACTGGGAGTAAGTTATTCCGCATGTAAATTAAAGATGTGCACGGTGCTTCGTGCTGCGGGCTATACTAATTTTACTCCCGAACGGTAAGTTGGACCTTAGCCAAGTTGAAGTAGACGACCTCCTAATCACCATTCCTATTTTTTCAGGAATTCAAAAAAACCCACATTTTTATAGTCGGGTTTTTCTGCAAAACGCTAAACGATAATACAGATTAGTAAAATCTACAGATATAAATCAACAAAATTTCTAAATACAATAAAATAAAAATGCATATAGCAGTTATTGAAGTACATTCCACTGCCTATTCTAATTTCCCACCCATAAAACACCTATAACCACCGGTTCCATAGGATACATGCTGAGACTAGGGGTATATGACGTGCACTACTTAAACTACTGTCGCTCAATGTTCGGTGTTATATTGCACTAGACTACAGACTGATACACACAGGCAAATAAAGGAGCAATAACGAGCTAAGTAGGCAAATCCATGTAGGCAAATTCTAGATACTAAGAAAAATGACACTTAATTTAATAATCTAAAATTATATGTTGAATATAATGCAAAGACTTGGCATAGAAATATATAGTGGCAGATAGGCGTACACCGATCAGTTAAAGGACACACTCTTCCGTCCATAGTGCCTTTGGAGCTCACACTCGAGCCTACGCCGCAAGGCGGCTAGTGATATAGGCAGAAGGACATTACCGACAACGACAAGGGATACTAGGATGGTCATTGCTGGCTTATTGGCCGTCGTCAGTCAGTCATACCCAGACCCAAGTGGTGTTCAAGCCGAGCCTCGAACTCGCGACCTTTCTGATCAGGGTCAAACACCCTAACCAGTGAGCCACGAGCAGAAGTATATGAATTGTAAGCTCCAAGAACATGCGGTTGAACGGAACAAAGTAGACAATTAAAACGTGACTCAGCTGCCTGTGGGGCGACAGTAAGCATGCAGCAACTCACTGAGAATTGCGAGAGGGTTAGGATATTCTGGCGTACCCTTTCGAGAAACGAATATTCCATCAACACAAATGATTGAGGGCAGCCTGGGCCTTATGACTCATTTGCAACCTGATCACTTCTCTATAAACTTCTTTTATTGGAGGCAAAGTTAGTCAACAAGAGTCGTAGTACTATAAAACCTAAATAATTTGAAAGCGTTAACGTCTCCTTAACAGAATGAGCTTTAAGTCAGTGATCGTAAGATAAAGTCATGGGTCGGCCCAAACACAATTATAACGACTTCTTCTAGTCAAAAACCTGGGATACGAACCTTTGCCTCTATTCGTGAATTATAAAATAACAGAATAGGGTTAAGAAATAGTACCGGTGTTGTTCCACCCTTTCGACCACGTCCAGCAAGGCAGACTTGGCAGAAAATCAGATCCGCGCAGTCATGGGACTAAAATATAGGTGAAACAATGCGATAAGTTTTTCGGCGGTAGGTAAACTGCAGTGAGTACAAAAGTTAAGCAATGGAACGAGTACTGGGCAAAGCATGCGCAGGAAAAATTAAAAATGGCAAATATCGACGGTCAATAAAAAGGGTTACTTGGCGCTGAGGACACAAGCCGTTCAGACAAGCCTCAATGGAACTATAATAACAACAGTTGAAGGCATCTGCCAGACTGATACAGCAATCACAACTTTGTCCTTTGAGGATATTTGAGCCAGGAGGAGATGGTCGACGCAACCACTGGTACACGACATATATCAAAAGGACGGCTCCTAGGTAGCCGATACTGGCAAATATCAGTAGTGCGGGCAAAGGTAATGGCAAAGAGAGCACGAATGGCTGCAGGACATATTGACTCTGCATGGCAATCAGGTGCTGTATTGCGCTAAAAGGAGTAAATAGAAGGCTTTAAATTTAATTTTAAAAACTCTACGGTCAGTCAATAAAAGGAGTCATTAGGCACGGAATAAAACTCAACAATGGAAGCCAAGAAGTGATCGGAGTCAACCTTCACTCCACTTTGTACAAAAGCGGCCCACACGGTGTTGCTATTGCCCTCTGGGAACAAGCAAACCGTACATTATTTGCATGGAAACCGGTCAATGACCGAATGGCTTACGCGCGACTTAAGGGTAACTTCACGAATATTTCTGTCTCCTTTGTGTACACATCAACACAAGAAGACAACCAACACAATAAACAGGGCCTCTACTCGCAGTTGCAGGAGTTAATTGAAAGGTTCCCTCGCGGTTATCTGCTGATTATTGCCGGTGAGTGAAATGGCTGGAGTGGACCTTATTGGTCGTTTTTAGCTTGGCTCTCGACGTGATAATAATAAAAGGATGGCGAATTTTACTGACTAGAACTGACTGCCACCAACACGTGCTTCTACAATCGCCACAAAAAATCTATTGTCCTGGTATTCAAATGACAACCATACTGCATCATATCGATTACGTTCTAGTTGGTTTAAGGGTCCGCATTTGGGTCTACCATAGCAGATCGATAAGTTTAGCCGAAAGTGGTAAAACCCACGGGTGTGACCATATTTTCGTTCGCACAAGCCTGAAAGTCCACCTCTCACCTGCACCCAAAAGGCCGTGTGTGAAACAACTGGATGTCGCGAAACTATGCCAACTTAGCACTGCTGAGGCAATAACCAATGATCATCACTGAAAATATCCGTCTATGGGGCAGCTGACAAAGTTGTTGGATCAATTCAGCGGAAAAACCCTGCAATTGTCTGCTCAGACGTCTCGAGCCAGGTCCCAGAACGATGCTTCCTTCCGCTAACTTCGGAAAATGACAGGAAAGTCGGCTGGTGACAACCGACAGAAACATTGGTCCGAAACAACAACCTCTATGGAACAGGCCTTAATGGTTGGCTACACTCGACAATTTTACCAAACTATCCGCCAAGTTAGTGTTAAGCCCTTGACACTCTGAGATTGTTCGTGGTGTAAACGGCGACTTTATTCCTGACACCTCGGCCAAGGTCAATCACTGGCTTGAGCACTTCGAATACCTCTTCAGCTTTGATGAGCAACCCAGCACACTCTCCCTGTCTTGCAAAGCGGAGCTTAATCCCTCTCCAAGCTATGCAGTGCCGTGCGACCTCCCTTCTGAAGACAAAGGTGCCGATGCAATACAGAGGCTGCGCAACACCAAGGCCGCCGGAGAGGATGGTACTTCTGCTGAAATCGGCAAGTACTTTGCTGACACTCTGACGTCCTGGCTCCATGAGGTGGTCAAGGAGGCGTGGAGAGATTAAGTAGTTCCGAATGACTTGGGTTCGGGTATCCTAATGCCTGTCTCCGAAAAGGGAGATAAGACTAAGTGCGGGAACTATCGTGGTATAAGCCTCCTCAACGTTCATGCGAAGGCCTTTACCATTGTCCTTCTCAGAGGTTTTCAGTCTGTACGAGACCCAACCAATCCGCATTCCAAACTAGGCGAAGACGGGTGGACCTGACATTCACACTGAGGCGCATTCTGGAATTCTACCATAGGTACCAGCAACCGACGGTCGTCTGCTTTACTGACCTCGCTGCTGCGTTCGATTCCGTCTATCGTGAGTCTCTGTGGAGAATAATAGAAAATTAAGCTTTTTATTTTCCTTAGAAATCAATTTCTGTGCTCGGTATCGATCAATTTATTCAAGGTCTATAGGCATAGACTGAAATCGCAGAACTAGATGGTGTACCGGCGAAAGTGATTGCTATGGTTAATGCCTACCATTGCTACATCACTGTGGGGGTTCTGGTCCAAAACGATCTCTTCCAAACGTTCGGCATTTCGACTGCTATTCGACAAGATTGTATCCTGCCGTCAATTTTTTTAAAAGTACGCTATTGATTGGATCCTCAGAAGGGTCCTGCACGGTTTTAACGGTAGAATTTGCACCAGGAAGCCGAATGAATGATCTTGACTACACCGAAGATATTGCCTTACTCGTCTCAAGCTTTGGCGATCCACAGTCTGTGGTGTCACGGATGAATGTGATCACTACTTATTTGTAAACGCTGTTTTCAAGTTGCATTTCTTACCAGGAGGTATCCCTGCGGATTAGTAGCTGTCAACTTCAAGTAGACGGTTTCAAAAACCTCAGAATCAGGCTTCTGTTTAGTGAACACAGTAAGGGCGACATTGTCTCCAAAATCGATGCTGCTCAATGGGTTTTCTCAATCCGTCGAAAGCGCTTATGCGTCTGACACAACATAACCATCGCAACGAAGATCCGTGGGTACCATACACCAGTCTGGTTATTCCTCCTCTAAGGTTATGAATGCTGGAGTTTGTGCGTGGAAGATGAGCGAAGGCTGTAGGTATTTGACCACCGGTGCCCGAGGATCGTCCTTCAAGTGAAGTGCATCGACTTCGTATCAAATGAGACAGCCGGCACTCGCTGCGACAGTATCGCGAGGATATCTCAGGCCGTTTAAGAAAGGTGACCGAGCTGTTCGGGCACGTTTTCCACTGTCCACTTCGCGAGCTCAATTATACTGCCTTCAATTCGGTGCCGATGCCTACCTGGAAGCATCCAATAGGAGGTACTTTCCAAACCTGGTTTGACACAATTAGTAAGACACGGAAGCGGTTCTTGTAACTTCGGTATTCGACCTCAATCACAAGAAAGCACAATCGGTTGGGATTTTCAGATCCGTTGCCAAAAAATCTTCACGCGCGGAGGTACAATACGCGACATCATCGAAGCCAGTTAGATCAGGCACGATCACAGCCGTACTAAGTACTAATAAGTAAGCTGCTGCGATCACTTTAAGCATTTAGTCAACTTTAATGAAAACTCAATCACGCCACCCACTCATCTACAGACGCGTTTTATCTTTTTCCGGTCTATCCTGTGTGCTGTGACTAATTTCCACAATAAGAAATTGTCAATAACAACTGAATACCAGGCAATGAGAAGGAGTTCGAAGAGGTCAGCATTCTCATTGAAATTTGCAAGTCATATGGCGACATTGATATTGGTCACGTGAGGTAAGTTAACACATTTGCAGAGATGAACTCGTTCCTGATGACGTGGGCTCGGGCACCCTTTTTCCTGTCTTTAAAGCAGAGTGCAAAAACTACTAGGATAGAATTCTTAACATTTTTGCTGAGGCCTTTGTCATTGTCATTCTTAGGCAATCTCAGCGTGCATGAACAGAAAGAAACCCAAGCAAGCTGTGTTCTGAACCGAATTTCGATACTAAAACAGATATTTACGGCGGCACACTCGAATTTTGTCATGGTTACCAGCAACCGATGGCTGTTTGATTTTTGGCTTTACCATAGCATTAGATCCCGTCTACCGTGAGTCTCTGTGGCGGATAAATGGACTACATAGGCGGTGTGAAGGCAAAATTAATCGCCATGATCAAGGCATACTATTGCTCAGCCACTGTGCGACTTCTGGTTTACAAAAATTTATATTGGTTGTGCTGGATTCTGTCGCCCATCTCGTGAAAATAAATAGTTTGCTAGACTTTTGAAAGGATACCGAACGGTTTTAATTATGCAGAATTTACATTCGGACGTTGGTTGATTAACCTTTAAGATTAATATATCGCTGAGACCTTTCGGAGTGTTCTGTTGGAGGGACTTAAACGCTGGAAAGACGAAAGTTATTTTTAGACGCGTCCTCGACAAAGAGAATTCACTCCTCGGCATACATGGTTGTTAAGCAGAAGTGGGTGATTTTAAACACCGACGGAGGGCGCTGCTGTTCTGTGTACAGTGGTGGTGACCTCATCTGAATATAAGCTGCTCAAACAGTTTTCACAAGTCTTAAAATGATCCACAGATTCCTTAAGATATCTCTACTGTCACAAAGATCCAAGCATCCACCTGAACAGTTCTTTTATCTGGTTATGAATCCTGAGCTGTGCGCGTGGAAAGATAAGCCAAAGCTACAGTTACTTGTTCAGCGTTGCCGGAGAACATGAACTCGAAAGAGAAGACTCGCAGTCGATGTGAAATCGCAAACACATCTCAGACTATCTGAAACGACGGCTGAGGTGGTTCAGGCGCATTTTTAGTCCCATGAATTAAGTATTATTGCAGCTGAAACAACGCGACTACCCACCCGGAGGCACCGAAGAGGAGGTAAATCCCAAATCCAGATTAAGGACATGGAGATGGCTAATAAACCTTTGGTATTCTGTCGAGGTCGCTGGAAGAGAGAATGGATTAGGCTCTGTAGATCAGCCTTGGCAGACCGTAAGTTGTGGATAGGTAAAATTCGCGACATCGACGCTGGCTAGAAAAATATTCATACATTCGTATTAAATACACGTGTGAGCGACTAATTCCATAAAGTTTTGGCCTGAGAACAAAGAAACATACGCAATGTGTGATTGGACCATTAACATGCGGTTGAACTTAAAATCGAATAAGGGACGCTGTATTCAACGCTGAGGTTAGTTAACAGAGTAAAAAGACGGAGTTGAACCCAGCGTCGAAGTTATTTTGAAACCTTTTGTAAAACACAATGCGATAATCACAAATAAACCTAGGTACTGTGTTTTGAGAAGCAGAGACATGTAGGACAATTCTACCAAATGCGCATCTTCCTTCAGTAAATTTAATTCACTACCCACAGCACTAGAATAGTGGATCCTCCCGTTTTTAGACACTACTGTCAGCACTGAAATTATGACATACCCATGCTACTTAGAATTTTATTTTTTTGGGCGGTAAACCTACGAAGGGCTAAGTAAGTCAATCGAAGTGTACGTCAGTCGTAGCATGGTTTGTATATAATCAGAATAGGGGTCGTTGTTTAAAACTATTTCAGTTAGATCAAGAAGCACACAAAACAAAACAAGAATTGTTAAGGATAATTGTGCAAGATGCCGTATTACGAAAGTGTGCACCAAAATATCAAAACAATCACAATTTAGGATACTATCTAACGGCATTGTAGCGGAGGCCAGAAGTCTTTAAATGCATTAAGGAGTACGACTATTGTGTTAACACCCTCACTGCGGCTCCAGTTCGAGACCTTAGCACTCAGAAAAATGATATATTTCCGGAAAAGTTCTGTTGACTAGCCCGGGCCGCAAATTTGAAGGTAGCCGAGGTGGGCAGAAAATGGCTCTAGAATTGATAAATTTTTACGTGACGTAGTTGAGATCACGAGTATTGTGGTTTTCTGAAAATGGTTTAGAGTCCTAAATAGGTAGGACTTAACCAAGACGCAAAAGCGGTAATATATAACACAAATAGGGTTTAAATTGGGATTAAAAGGGCTGTGATACAAGTAGTTAAGCTACGTATGGTATCAAAATGTTTTCTGTTTTGTGGGAAAGTTGATGAAATGCCATGAAACATATAAACTCACACTGTAAATGGAGGCGTTCCACACCGAACACCCAGCTGATGTCAATGGAGATAGTGTTCGTTTGGGCTACCATGGACAACAAAATTTGTCCAGGGAAATGGAATTTTATTTTTTGTTTAGTATATCTGTGGCGCCCATATCAAGTTCTATCCGATGTTTACCTGACAGCAAAAAATAAAGAGAATAAAGTAAGGACTTATAGATTGGATTCGGGAGTGAGTGGTAAAATCTGCGCCGGGAAATACATATTTATCAGATAGAATGATTATGAATTCCAAACTTGAGCTGAAGCTCGCAGATGCCTGAAAGGTACGCAACAGGTTTTTTTCCAGTTTAGGGCAGTTTACTGAGGGAAATAGGCATAAGTGTGATTGCAATATTTTTAAGGGACGATAAAAGACGATAATTGGGACGAGGGGCTCAAGGGTGAAGTTAAATCCCTCATGGCTCCAGCTCATTTGGGATCACAAAGCTGTCAAGGTTTTCTTTAAAGTTTTTCAGCTATAGGAACATTACAACATCTGCATGGAAAAAATTCTACAGTTTGAACCTTCTAACAAAAAAGAAATTGCGCACATCCAGTCTTGCCTGCCGAACACGCAGGCATCAACGATAGTAGTAAGCTCATGTTGGGTAGTGAAGGGCTTAATGAAAATCTAAATGGAAGAGAACAAAAAGCAAAACTGCAAGCAATGCATACATTATAATTTACATCAAATATGAGTGAGGAAGAACAAATGGAAGAATGTGCAGAATATTACAAAAGGCAAATGACACGTAGGAAAAATATTAGAAACCGAATAAAACAGTTTGAAAGAAATGGAGAGTAGATAAGCTAGGAAAAGAAAACTTAAGATCAAAACACAGAATGACTCGAGCAACGGGACCCGATCTATGAATGTTCGGCCTTTTGAAGTCGGCCGAACGAA